GTACAGCTCCAAGATCTGCTGCACGGACAGCTTGGTGTCGCCGGCGTTGATGCGCTCGGCCAGCCAGGCCGCGTACGGGCTCAGTTCCAGGCGCTCCAGATCGGAAAAGGCCAGCACGGACGTTAGCGTCTTGAGCAGGTCTGGCAGCAAGTCGTCCCGCATCTTCTGCTGCAGGACGGCTCTCAAGACTGAGCGAATGTTGTCCAGCTGTACAGGAACAAACACGAACGCACATGATGCCATGGAGGCTCGAAAAGAGGACTAAAACCCTGAAGCCAATCAACTAAGCAAGTAGGGCCGTGTCCGACACGGGTAAAGTTTTCTTCGGGTAATCTTTTTATCAATGGAAAAACTATTTTGTCTCCGTTCCTAAGGGAACTCTCGACAGCCGCTAACACCTGGAATAACTCTCTGTCACTAAGATGGGTCCTAGTGCATATAGGGTTGTAAGAGTCTGTAGAAGTGCTGCGCCTCTTCTAATTCTTGTTTTATAAAAAAAATTATACTACAAACGAAACAGGTCCCCTTGCTGAATTGGAGTTCATTCTAATTCTCTCTGCAAGGGCTTTCCAGCGATCCCAGAGCTGTCGAAATCGGTCAGATAGAGCCAAAGTTATGGAAGAAAATCAAATAGCTGTACATAACTATGTACGGTACGGGCCGTCCATAATAATTATTATCGATCTTTTACACGAAGAGAACAAGTTTCGTTCATGGGCGGGTGGGTCAAGGGGAGTTTCGTTTTGAAAAATATTGATACGTAAGACATCAAGGCATTCTTGCTGTCAAGTCAATCTATTTTTCATTCAGGGGGGTGGGTGGGTGGGTGGGGGAGGGCCCTAACTAAACTTTTTCGTTTCGTGAAAATTATCGATAATGCCGGATATCCCCTATTATCTGGTTTTGGAAATTTATTTTTCATTGCTATCAGGTTCGGCCTCATTTTCTCTGTGCTGCGCTGATGAGTCCACAAAGGACGAAACAGTTCTGTCCGCATATTGAGTATCTCGCTCCTTCTCTTGTAGCAGTTGAGCCCTCTCGTGTGGGGTAGTGCCTTTGCTGTTTGCTTTACGCAGAGCTCACTGACTTGTCAGTTTGAGCACTCTGGCAAGGTACGGTCGGGCCTGGTTTAAAATCTGGCTTTGGAAATATATTTTTCATTGCTATCACGTTCGGCCTCATTTTCTCTGTACTGCACTGACGAGTCCACAAAGGACGGAACAGTTCTGTCCACAGATTGAGTACGTTAACATGTAAGTTACAACGGTGTGTACAATGCCCGATCGGTTGTTCTAGCGGTGTTTCCTTTCAAGGGGAGGTCCGGTGAAACATTTAAATTCCAGGGTCCGTAGAGTTTGGGGCGCTGAGTCGAATGGTGCCCACCAAGAGTATATAACCCCCCCCCCCCCCCCCCCCAGAGTGTGCAACTCCTGATACCCTTTCTATGGGGCATGCCGACGGCGAAAACTCACATCATGTGGTGCAGTGTCGCAGTTGTACGTTTCCAGCCCGTTTTTAGCGAGCACACGGAGTAATAAAAAAGCACTCTCTGACAGAAACTCACTGCGGGTATGCAAATCCCCACCATGATCATGCCAGATATTCGGATTGCGCGCACGCTATCCTTCGTTTGTACGTAGTACGGACGTAACTGAGACACGTGATGTGAGTTTTCGCCGTCGGAGACCCCATATGCACAGTTGCACACTCTTGGGGAGTTATATACTCTTGGTCCCACGTGTCTCAGACAAAGCGTTCTTGAGATATTTCCATTTGAAAACCTGAGTTTCGGGGGCTGCACCATGATGTCATGCAGCCGCGCCGCACCCTCTGCAACGTCATAACATGTGACTAGGTCAAAAGGAGTGCGTGAAAGCAATAGTGTGAGTGCGATTTCAAATGATTTGGCGACCGATAGTAGGTGGTGCAAGCGACCCCGAAGACTCAACTCCATGAGAGAGTGAGGGTGCAGCCATGGCTGACATTCATGAGTTCGGTCTGGGGCTGAGAACTAACACTTACTTCGGTATTCTGCTAAAGAAATCCAAGAGTGAGCGCTGCCGCGTTTGCGACTAATGAAGACGCAGCAGCTATTGCAGCTATTATCAGATCTCTAGAGAGCAGAGTCGGAAAATTGGAGAAGGGTGGTGTGAGTGCTCTAAATGCTGTTCGATACCGACTCGCTTGGACTCCAGTGGCCTGCCACACAGTGATATCTTGGTGCGAACTTGGCATACTTCGGACGCTGCTCGATTGGCGAACAGTGAACCACGGGCACGGCTCACGACACTACGAGATCTGAAAGTTTTAGGTCTGGGAGCCGTTCGCTGCTTTGTCACTTGCCATGTGTGCACGGTTGTGGGCTCATCGTTGTAGCATAAATGAGGCTCGACTAATCCATGCGGAAAACAAAAATATTTCTTTCTCAAAGCACAGCCAACGGCCCGGAGGAATTCATGTGCATGACTCGACTGTGATTGTACTTGAACTTTGAAGTACATACGACTGGTACGAGTAGTGCATGACAAGTCTGTGAGTGTGTATGTCTTGTATCACACGACTCACCTAGCACGACAGTGGTAGTGGCCAGTGCGCTGCGGAAGTAGGATCGAGTACTCTAATTTCAGAAACGTTAGGTGCTCAATATTTTCGGTAGGCGGGCAAAAGGCCAGGTTAGGTGAACAGAAATTTTAGGTACAGAGAAGCAATTCCCTATTGGATTATGTGTGTAATAGGGTTTGTTCGGTGTATTGAAATTTTAGGTATGAAGCAGATGCACCGAAAATAAAAGTACACGGAAAATTTGCGAAATTACAGTAGTCATGTCCTGTTCCTTGTGATGAGTTTGTTGAATACAGTGTAGTAGCACAGGTGCAGAGGCCAGAGGACGTAAAAAGTCCAACTCGGAAACGGCTAAAGACGGGATAACCCCAAGACTTGCCGAGCTGAAAATCTCAGGGAACGTAGTGTTTTGTAATACTGAGTCGAATGGTTTTGGTCCGAAGAAGCTGCGATAAACGGTTCCCCAATCGCACGCGTTCCGAACAATGGCCATTTTGTACACAACTTGATGGTGTGGCTACCTGGCTGCGCGCTGTGACGTCATCACCTGGATCTGGGTGACCGTGCGCTCAAATTCGCACATGTTCGATTGGGCATATCTGACGAACCATGGAACGGAGCCTCCTCGGACAAAGACCATTTGACTCAGCGCCCCCAACTCTACGGACCCTGCCTGTGAGGTCCACGTGTACCCGGCTACCTGTGCACAGCTCTACAACTAGTCTTGCTCTACAGGAAGATCGGGCACCGAAGATCACTGAGGCTGGAAAATGGCACACAGTTAAGACCAATCCGGGCTAGAATTTCAGATTTAAGACTGCGTAAGCACCGTGTGCGTGCTTTCTTTAAATTTTAATCCTTGGCTCTCCATCCGAGTTATGCTACATGTTTTCCACATGCTTGATCGCATCGTATGATGCTGTTTATGATCGCGGAAGAAGAACAAAACGACTAACATTGGAACATTCTAGAACACTGCTAGGCTGCACCTTGAGCCCCATGCGTTCTTCGGCGCCCGGTCGTACTGTATGTGCCAGAGAAGGGATATCTAAAAAATGACTGCAAGCATGCATGCAGGCCCACAAGACAGCAGGCACCTAAAAGACTAACCGATTTCGCAGCCTTGAAATAGCTGAGGAAGTTGAGCAGGGCTGGCAGCTTCAGCGTGTCCCGGTGCGCAGCGAGCACGACACCGGCCGCCTTCTCCGTCACCGGCGAATCGCTGGCGACGAGGAACGCCAGGCAAGCAAAGTTGTTCACGTCGCCAGCGGACAGTTTGGCCACCTCCTGCGATGGCTCGCCGTTGTCAGCACCCTGGTGCTGCAAGAGCCACAGAGAGATGAGCTCCACCAGACCCTTGTCCACCGGCATCATGTTGATGTAGAGCTTGCGGCACATCTCCAGCAGGTCGGAGATGGCGCTGCTCTCGCCCAACAGCGGGAACGACGGGCTGGACGCGAGGGTCAGGATGTGCTGGCTGGCCTTGGTCATGGCCGACTCGGATGGCATGATCGTGCGGGACTTGTGGAGCGCAGCCGTGGACGGCCTCGCATACATCTGCACCAGGTCTTGCATCTATCGCAACATACACACACACACACACACACAATGACACACACGTTGAATATAAGCCCATCAGCGTACTTGTTTGTTTGTTGGTTTGTTTTTACACAGAGGCTGTGCGCCTTAACCTGCAATAGTGCTCAAATGCCCGGAATGGGCAGAGCGTAGTACGCAAGAGGTACACAAAAGGAAGCAAATAGGGCTGTTTTTTTGTAACTCAGAGTATCATGGCAAAAACCAATCATCAGACAACATAAGGAGATTAGAAAAACGCAGGTACATGTATATGAAGGCAAGCAAGTTTGTTTTTATTGAAGTGTGTGGGTACAGTGAAGGCTGCGTCCCACCCGCCTGTGTAGATTCACAGGAAGTGTGAGTTACGAAGTCTGAAGAAAATGTTGAACGGTCTCTGCTGGGATGACAACTACACCATAGCTCAGTGGTTAGAGCATCGCTGGCTACAAGCGAGGGTCCCTGGTTCGAGTCCTGGTGGTGACAGTCAATTTTTTCTTCAGACTTTTCCCGTATGTCTCTTTCCCTCAAACCAGTTAAAATTTGTTTTTATTGTTTTTATTTGTTATGCTGCAAAGTATATGCTAGGCCACTATCACCCAGGTGCATCTATCGCAACACACAGTGCCACACATTGAACATAAGCCCATCAACGCGCGCGCTTGTGCTGTTACGCTATCACCCAGGTGCATCTATTGCAACACATAACGACGCACACATTGAATATAAGCCCATCAAAGCGCTTGTGCCGCAAATCTCACGCTAGGCTACTATCATCTAGTTGACAAATTTTCGACCCATTCAAATTTCGGCCTCCCAGGGCTAAAACCCACTTCGGCCTGTACTGCTGCCGCCTGGATACACTGTCACACTGAACCATGCAACACTAAATTTCGGCCAAACACGATCAGGCCGAAAATAGATATGCACCGAATATTTTGTTGACTTACAGTAGCCAAAGCAGAATACGTATGTACATCTGAATACATGTACATTGTGAGATTGACACACAATGTGTCCCTACAGTGCACGTCTCAGAAATACTCACTTGATTCATGGACAGGGTAGACAGACTCTCCTGCAGTTGAGTCTCGGTGCGCATGCGCAGGTCGACCAGCGCCGGCAACGCAAAGGCCTTGGTTGCCGTCAGGGCGTCCAGAACGACAAACAGGTTGTGCACACTGGCAGTACTCAAGTTTGCGCAAGCCACCTACACAGTCACAACGCACACAGTGACAGAGCAAAGGATGCAGACTCAGCATACTAGCTGTGATGGGCACCAGCAATTCCAAAGATCCGAGAGTATAATTTGTAGCAAACTAACCCTCTAGATCAGCAGTCACAATAATAAAAAAGTAAATTATCGTGTCCGTTCCCGAAGGGAACTAACGACGGCCGCTAACACCCGATAAACCCTAGCGGCAGATGCAGCGCCTAAGGTGGGGGTGAGTGGGTAAGTCTCACAACCACTGGCACAAGTGCCGAAAACGACCCCATTAGCTGCATCCATGTACCCTTGTGCCCTGGCCACAAGTTCCCAGTTGACTGTGGGTAGCAGCACGGCTGGAAAAACCGCTCCCAGGCAGGACTTCAACCAGGTACCTCTCGTATCTCAATCATGGTCTTTGACCAACCCACAATAGCTGAGGTCAAAGAATAGACTACACAGGAAATGTGTGTGCATGCGGGCGTATGTGCGAGATGGAGCGAGAGAGAGAGAGAGAGAGAGAGAGAGAGAGAGAGAGGAGAGAGAGAGAGAGAGAGAGAGAGAGAGAGAGAGAGAGAGAGAGAGAGAGAGAGAGAGAGAGAGAGAGAGAGAGAGAGAGAGAGAGAGAGAGAGAGAGAGAGAGAGAGAGAGAGAGAGAGAGAGAGAGAGAGCGAGAGAGAGAGACGAGAGAGAGAACGAGAGAGGGAGAGAGAGAGAGAGAGAGAGCGCGCGAGAGAGAGAGAGAGAGAGAGAGAGAGAGAGAGAGAGAGAGAGAGAGAGAGAGAGAGAGAGAGAGAGAGAGAGAGAGAGAGAGAGAGAGAGAGAGAGAGAGAGAGAGAGAGAGAGAGAAAGAGAGAGAGAAGAGAGAGAGAGAGAGAGAGAGAGAGGGGAGAGAGAGAGAGAGAGAGAGAGGAGAAGAGAGAGAGGAGAGAGAGAGAGAGAGAGAGAGAGAGAGAGAGACAGACAGGAGACCAACAGACAGAGTGAGACAGAGAGCATCATACCGCTGCAACCCTAGACCAAGGCTCGCTGTCTACAACGCCCAGGCGGGACATGGCAAGTGCCACTAAGGCTGTGTTCTTTATTGGGGACAAGTTGTCGAGATCAGTTGCAGCCTTGATCAGTGTCTCCTTCACATTGGCAGATAACACTGCTGGCTGGTGGGGAAGATCCAAAAATGCATTGCTGATTGCACCAACCTGTTAACATGCCGTATAAAATACATGCAAGCATGCGCATACACACACACACACACACACACACACACACACACACACACACACACACACACACACACGCACACACATGCACGAGGGCACGTCAAATGATATACCGGTAGTCCAAATCTGTCTTTAGCCACCGCTGCTATCAGTGATCAGTAATACTTACCAAGTACGCTAATAGGATGCGAACTAGACTACATAGGTGCAGCACTATACATAGCTTGACACACGGCTTGATGTTGAATGTGAAAAAGACAAAGATTATGGTGGTCAAAAAGAGAGGACCATAAGTTTGCAAGTTATCCGTTTTGTCCAACATTAACGATGATAAGCAGGATACTGTTGAGTCCAAATTGTGCAACAATTAGCACAAAACTGACCGATGTGATACTGACATTCAACGACCTGACGCTTAGCTGCATCACTTCTGGAATGCTTATAATGTTAGTGTTGGGAAAAACGGATAACTTGTAAACTTATGCTCCTCTCTTTTTTATTTTAATCCTTGACTCTCAATCCGAGTTGAATTATGGTGGTCAATGATGATACAGGAGATCCTTTCACCTGCAATGGGGAAGTGGTCGGGGCAGTGGAAGCTTCACATACCTGGGAGCACAGTTCGACATCTCCAGCAGGACAACAGCAGAGCTGAGACGTCGTTTGACCCTGGCAAGACAGACCGTTAGCAGGCTGGTACCCATTGGAAATGCAAAAATATATCGAAAGGCATGAAGTTACGACCGCTGCAGGCAACCGCGTTTTCCGTTGCCAGTTACGGCTCGGAGGCATGGGCACTAACAAAGAGAGAGAGAGAGAGAGAGAGAGAGAGAGAGAGAGAGAGAGAGAGAGAGAGAGAGAGAGAGAGAGAGAGAGAGAGAGAGAGAGAGAGAGAGAGAGAGAGAGAGAGAGAGAGAGAGAGAGAGAGAGAGAGAGAGAGGAAGACAGCGTGCATGCGTTGGAAATGTGATGTGATCGGCGGTTACTGAGAGTGAAATGGATTGAAAAGAGAACAAACAAGGATATCCTGGAGGAACTGGGCATGGAGAGACCAGTGTTAGCGGATAGAATCTATGGCAGGAGACTCCGGTATTATGGACATATCGCAAGAGGACGTAGTCTGGAGAACGATCTAGTGGAGGGCATGATTTCGGCAACAAGGAAGAGAGGACGACCAGCGGTCAAATGGGCGGACAGCGTAAAGAAGGCAAATAGAGCAGACAAGCTAGTACAGGTCAAGCGCTGGACAGAGACAAGGGCGGAATGGCGTGACATTGTCGCCACAGCAACCAGAGTGGGTGAATGATGACGATGATACATAACTTTGCTGCAGAGTGCAATTTTGGGAACGCTTGCTTTGCTGTTTTCAAAATATTTGAATTTATTTCTTGGCTTTCTTGCTCGTCTTTGATGATGATGCTCGATGTGAGAAGGATGCGAATCTTCACAGCGCGAGTCTTCACAACAAGTGCAGCCAGGCGCAGTGAGGTGCTCGATATCGGCCAGCTGCTCAAGTTGGAAGAAGCCAGGCGCAATGAGCTGCTCAAGTTGGAAGAAGCCAGGCGCAATGAGCTCCCGGCCAAGCACGACCAGCTCCTCAAGTTGGAAGAAGCCAGGCGCAATGAGCTCCAGGGCAGCCGCAATGAGCTCCAGGGCAGCCGCAATGAGCTCCAGGCCAAGCACGACCAGCTCCAGGCCAAGCACGGCCAGCTCCAGCAAGAATTGTCTGCACCATTCTACCGTAAAAGCCCGTGTATAGGGCCCAGGCGCATAGAATAGCAGCATCAATTTCCTGGGCGCTAACAAGGGCACGGGCGTTATTTTGGAACCGGGCACATATTTGGAATATAAATGTTGAAATTCTCCCCTTGCTCAATAACTGTATCCATTTCATTTTTTTTTAGCTGAGCATGCACACTAAAAATACAGTATCCCCACTTCATAGCATTTGTTGAGTGAAGTCTCTTGATGCAAGCGTATGAATGGCACGCACACTCACTGCACCCAACGTCCAACTAGGCCAGTGACAGCCCCGCAGCTAGCAGAGGACTGCTAAGATCATGTGTCTGAGTAATCAGCGCAAGCCAGAATTCCAATGATAGACTAGCCCCTGCAGTTCTGTTAGCCTGCACTGGCATACATGCCCCCCGCTTAAATTCCACCCTAACCATTTCGACCTGCCAAAGTTATAAAGGCTTATAATAGAAATAAGGAATTCAGGCGGACACACCCATTCCCATAGCGCTGCACATCCAAACCAGTTCCGTTATTTCACAACGTTTCAGCACTTGGCCATCATCAGGTAATAAGCGAAATGAATACATCACCACATAGCTAACCTTCGACGGCGTTGAGCTATAGAGGAGAGACAGAGACGTGATCACAGGATCGCTGTAGATTCGATGCGCCTGTTCAACTGACTCCTTCTGCAGGCATTTGGCCAAACTAATGAGAAACAGTAGCTTATCATCGCCTGTGGACTGCAGTGAGGACGAATAATGCGTAATCAGCTCAGGAGCACTGGCACACGTCTCCAAGTGCCCAGCCAAATCACTCTGAGCGCGGATGAAAACATCAAGAGATGCCGACCTGCGGAAAAAAACCCAACAAAGAGAAAGCGAGAACATACATTACACAGCACGGTCCATGAGCACAGACGCGTAACTAAGATGGATTCTGTGCTAGCGGAGTGAGCGCACGCCATGTTTCATGTTCTACTGCGGTTCGTGTCATGCAGTGACATTGCCATGCCACGCTTCCTGGCAATCCTTGGATGCGTCAGTATCAAAAGCCCCCCCCCCCCCCCTCTTCCACTGTGCCAGTCATTCAATAGCAGAACTCTTGCATTTGCAAGATTGTATTGCACACCCACTCCCGAAACCAACTCGAGGCATACAGAAGCATTGCCAGAAAGCCCGATATTACATGTACATCTAAGAGGATTTCTTAGAGACAGGGATTCAGTAACACTCAAGATGTACTATTCAAGTACTGTTCAAGTACTGCAAGTGCATTGTACTGCACTGAAGTAATTATTCAACCTCAACTCTTGAAATTAACACTAAAAAAGGAGGAAAAAACAGGCTCTTCAAGAACAATATTGAAAAATTTCACAGACACGTCTGTTGCCTTCTCGCTGGGTAGAATATCGGCAGAAAAGAAGCGTTGCAGGGAGTGAGAGGGGGGGGGGGGGGGGGGGGGGTGAACGTGGAAATCGGTATACAAAACTTGTAGGGTTTATTACACGTACGAGTCCTGGTGGTGACAGTCAATTTTTATTCAGTCTTCTTCCCTTTTCAGACTTACGAATGTTACATGTACATCATCATAATAATTCATAAACCCCACTTCGACATCACAGCACCCACTTTCAAAAACAGCATGCAGCTAGCAGACGGTGCTATGTTTAAAAATTAATGAATTTTGTTCGATTTTTCTAGCTGCGGTCAATATTTTTTATGAGATAGGAGGCATGACAGTGAATCAAAACCCAAACAACTAACACTCCACTGGAATGAAAAGACTTGAATAAAAATAAAACAGAAGTACCCTGACAGATATCTCTTACCAACTGCCTAGCTGAAATTCTGTGCGATTGAGGCACAGATAGGAGCGGGAAGGTGGCAGAAAATGTGCGGAATGGCGTCCACATATCGCCTGTCCACGAGCTATCGTGGGAGAAAAGCAGCTACAAAATGTTCTCCGAGCAGTCGATGACACGGTTTGACTGAGAACAAGTTCTGACGACGACAGGGACAGAAGTCGCACTGACATTCTAGCACGTTATCACGCGCCCATTAGCACAGGCATCTGTGCTAAAGAAGATCTGGCATTGTCCTCCCCCAAGATCTCCACTGCTATCTCCAGGCAAACATTGGATGACATGAATGATAATGAAGAACTGAAGAAGACAAAAATTAATAATTTTGAAATGCAAAAAGTACATGTGGAAAAAGTCAAGGCAAAATGGAAAGGAAATTCGGACTCTACAAAAATCTAGCATTTGAGATAGGGAGTCGTAAAATACCGGTATTTTACGACTCCCTGATTTGAGATCTACATGAGTCATGACTGTACCAAGAGTAGATAAACAAGAGTGTGCAACTCGCGGATGGGGTGGCCCACGGCGGAATTTTTTGTTGACGTAATCTTTTCGACGACGCACGCGCTGCGAGCCTTTCGGAGAGGTTTCCCTCGTGCACTTGGCGGGGCTTGCACTACAAGGTCGGTGCCCAGCACGTGCTCTCACACTGCTCTGCGGCAAAGTCCGCGTTTCTCTGAAAAAGGTGACGTAAACAAAAAATTCCGCCGTGGGCGGAGGTATCTGCAGATTGTGCAGAAGAGATCCGGAGTTGCACACTCTTGTTTATCTACTCTTGCTAGTACCCTTCTGCCTTGGCCTGGCCTCTAGCTCTGCGGTTCAAAACTGAGATGTGCGTGTAGCCTAGCGCCTCTCGGACGAGAAATCCCCTGGCGCATGGCCTGGCCTAGCTGGCCTGGATGGACAAGATGTGTACGTAGTTTGCGCACGTGCGTTTAGCCTAGCAGCTAGGCGCGGCGTAACCATGGTAACGGTAGTCGCTGCTGCGCTGAGCTAGCTGATGAATGAGCTGTGAGCAGTAACCACCAGACTTCAATGGGGCTGTTAAGTGTGACGTCACGGCTCCTTCGATACGCATAGCAACGGAGAGCACTGGGGACAAACAAAAGTCGCGTCCTCTGGATGGAACCAGATGTCAAGGGCAACAGCATCTAAATGACTGGAGAGACAGCAGTTTTTCTTTGCTTTTTCTTCAAGCGATTGTTGTCGCTCTTTACTCCTTGTTCTTTCCTCTACAAAACTCCTGTAGTCGTCGAGTGCCTTCATGATGGCTGTGAAATTGGCTGCCCACAGTAAAACTCCGTGTTTGAGAGTGCTTTGAAGATGTTTCGCGTCCTGATGGATCAAAGTATGAGCGCTCCTTGTGGATTCGATTATATATAGGTGAGTTGTTCAAGAAATCAGTGTCTTCTTTCTGTCTCTGCCCTCACGCTGGCACAATATCAGCCTCTATATCCATGACAGCTCGCACCTCCCGTAAACTGCATGACTTACTGTAGATATATTTTCGCCGTCCGTGGTGATTGAAGACCCATGGAAGAATTTATTATGTTCAGAATGATGTCCTAAGAATATAAAATAAAATAATTCTATGGAATTGTCATAGGGTATTTTTGGAAGGATGGAGACAGAGAGAGAGAGAGAGAGAGAGCACTATTTGAAGTGTTTGTCTCACTGTAATTACTCCAGATTATTGAATGTTGTATGATCTACTCTATATTTTCCACAATGGTTTTTCCTGATTTGCGGGATCTCTTCTTTTTGCTGTTTGCGTGTTTACAGGAAGTGGCTGTCTGGTGTAACTGCACCAGATCCTGGGGAAATTAAGTCAGATGCAGAGGCAGGGTCGTCCAGTGATGCAACACTGCCGTTCTGTGTGCAGCGTTACCGCTAATACCCCGGCGAAAACACAAAAAAAGACAAACATGTGAAAAGACTACAGTATTGACCGTTCTGCTAATAAATGCATGACTGCTCCGGCAGTCGATAATCGAAACACAGAGCACCAGCATGATGTTTTCATATTGGGAACCACACAACAGCTCAATTCTCAAGCCCAAAAATTGATGAATACAAATACAGAGCGACGCAACAAGAGATCATCCGGCAACCAAACAAACCTGGGTCTAATGCACTGAATAGTCCCGAAATACGCAGGCCAGACAAAGCAGTGCAAGCACATAATGTTACAAGGTACATGCATTGCAGAACAAAGTGTAACCAAAGATACACAGGGTTATAGCTGCACACTTGTGCATGTGCTCGCTCAGCCCAAGAACACACGATCATGATGATAGAAACAATCCGGGGGAAACACGCTAACACCGAAGTAAGCATCAACACGTAAATAGTGCAGCTCTGAAAAAATTACATTGACATGTACATTGGTGTGTCGAGTAGTATCAGGCTTGAATAATCATCCAACCAAGACTTCATCAGGTCCCAGACGCTGAGATCGCACGCCGGATGTGAAGTGCATCTAGCCTTGAACCTGTCGCACAAGGCACACATATATGGCAAAATGACATCCACTCTGATTATTTCCAGAGGCCAATCATGACAGAACACAGACATGAAACCACGGGCTCAACCAAGTAAACGCAAAGGAAGTTAGTCAAAATAATCCATGCAGTGCTCTTTTAATTGCAGTGTTGCGTCATAGCCCGATACCCGCTGAGCACAGACACAACTCCATTCGTCAGGGGCAAGACATACTCTTTTGGAATAAAGTAATAAAGTACAGCGTTCCAATGACATTACGGACACCTCGTGCAAATGCATGGTCTGTTCATCTGGCCGACTCGGCCACGCATGAGAGTGTGTGCATGTACATGCGCGCGCGCAAGCGCGCGCACACACACACACACCATGTATTCGGTGCGTATGGTGTACCAGTTGCGGGACAATGAAGATGGAATCATTATCATGATGTTACATGTGCATCTACAGTGTATGTTTGAGTGTATTAAAAGTAAATTTTATTTTATTGCACATTTCTTCGACACAACTAATTACTTACTTCACATGTTCGCATTTCTCATAATCGATCCACCTGCACTCCGTATCAGTCGAGGAAAAATTCTCCCAGATATACACTAGTCACCACAGCCATGTGATGACATTGGGATGGGCCCCAAGCACGATTGCACTCTCTAGTTACAATAAATTTGGCCAGATTATCTGTGAAGACAAAATGCAATGCATAGCGGCAATCGATGGATGAAGGGAGAGTTTGTAAATACCTATATCTTTCCACATGTTCAGGAGCTTACCTTTTGGAGTTCACATCGTTTACACGATCTCTCATGTTGTCTTGCACCTTGGTTTTGTTGACCATGGATACGCCATCCCAGAAAACATTCTACAGGAGCTACTAATGCAGAGCGTTTTTCACGCTCGATCTCGGCGATCTACCTTGTCACGCCAATAAAATCCTCCGTGACACTGGCTACAGTCACAAGAGACGTCTCAGTAAGGTAATGAGCACGACAACATCGTCGAGATCAAGGACAAAGAGAAAACAAAACACTCACTGAAAACAGCAAAGAAGAAACGAAGAAATGTACACGATTCCTATATGTTGCCACTGACAACTGGTTCGGTGGAGACGACGCTACTTTTGTTTGTCCCCAGTGGGATCGTTGTTATGCGTATCGAAGGAACTGTGACGTCATCACTTAACAGCCCCATACTGCTCAAGAAAATCAGAATTCTACAGGTGAAACCCACCGGGGAGAAACAGAATACATGAATTGTGAAACAATGACTTGCCCTGGTGGATATGCATGCATACATACTGTCTGTATCTTGTGTAAGTGCCCCCCCCCCCCCCCCGAATTGAAGAGTACATTGTGATAGTTCTACGCAACGCGGCCTCGACCTACTGACCCCAAATGCAAATGCACCACGGACCATGGATTGCATATGCGAGCTTCTCATGATAAGCGGCGGCTCTGCTCGAACAGCATTTGGACCGGGCAGCCCACGGCGAAACAGCGCGAGAGGCTAAGCCCACTCCTCCCCCCCCCCCCCCCGCACACACACACCGAGCTCTCAAATGTGCACCTACCGACATACAGCGCACACTCATACCCACGGGTGCACCCACACTCATAGTAATACCCACAGGTGCACCCATGCCCACACACCACACATTCTCACCATCGCACACATCAGGCTCCAGAATTGCTCACATCTGCACAATCGCGGTGCAAAAGGCCTATTCCGCCATGAGTAATTTACTAAACACTAGAACTAAAACAATACAGTAGGAATAGGACGACCACAGTCGGACAGTGTCACAGTCGGCAAGCAGACCACCATTATAAGTTAGTCATGTAAATACAAAGCTGGTAATCTAGAGGTAGCAAGGACGCATCCCTCAGTCAGTCTCAAAAACTCAACACACAAACGCCAGCCAGCATACACTGCAAGCTGCACACACGACACGGGCGGAGTAACACTAAAAAAGTCGACACGTGCCCGCACATATCCGGAATCAATGAAAACAGTCCGCCGGTAAGGAACACACTCGTGACTAGAGAGACACACATCCATAGCAGCACAGTGGCACACCAGCTGCAGACGGGAGCCAGGGCAAGGGAGAGTAATACGGACGAAGCACCAGGGCAGCATCAGCAAAATTATCAGGCTATTTTAATTTTTCGCCTAGGCCAAATGGAAATATAGCAAAAGCAAAGGAAATAATAGTGGAATCCAATATCAACGGCCTGGGACTGCTGATCGGTGTACAGCGCCAGGCCGCACGGACACAGTGCCGCGCATGGCCTATCACAGAGTGCTGCATATGGCCTATCACACAGTATCTATAACACAGTGCCGCGCTTGGCCTATCACACAGGTCTACTAATATTGCTATTACTCATCGCACCAGTGAAGGAATCATAATCCGGCGACCAGGAAATGCTCTGGCGTAGCTCCAGGCCGCGGCAGCTTAGTAACCTGCAACGTATAACGACTGCAGAACGGAAACAGTGTTGCTGATAGCACGGGCACAGCCGGCCTGAGTGAGATTGGAATTTACACACAAACATGGCCCGAACAAAGAAAACTACAGAACGGTGGCACATGACGGCGCCGTTCAGAGGCCACGAGCGTGCACCCTCGACTACAGCAGCAGGTTGCAGAGCGTGCACCCTCGATCACAGCAGCAGGTTGCAGATTCTCATCTTGGTGTCCTTACGACGCTCCTCCGACATTTTGACCAGCATGTCGCCGACAAACTTCAGGAAAGGATCGATGGACTCGGACGACGCGGACTGCGACTCGAAACCGCCACCGCCGGGCAGATTACTGGACATTGGCCGGAAGGCATCGGCAGGTAGGTCCAAGCCGGCTGTAGAAACGGCACCGGGGGAGAAACACACGGTGGACGTGGCCGCGCCGGCATCGCTATCGGTCGTGTGGCGCGCCGACGAGGCGCCGCCGGCCGACGGGTAAGCACTGCCCGCTTTAGCACCGTCACGCGGGCCAGTCCCTCGCACCGTCCAGTGCTCGGGCAGTTGCTCCCTCGCCGCCACGGGCCCGGAGCCAGCAGCACCACTGCCGCTGCTGTTGCCACCGCCACCACCGTACGGCGCCTTGAACGCTGGCGACATGTCCGCGTCAACACTCTGATCATCGCTGGAGCGCTTCAGCTGGTCGGCTACATGGCACAGGGACGACCTCTGCGGCGGCAAAGGAGCGCTGCCATAGCCTCTACCGCTGGCTCCTGTCGACACCGACGAGCCGGTCTGCCCGCGATGACCGGACTTCTGGCTTTTGCGTTCGTTGGCCACTCCGGGGTCCAGAAACTCAATGGAATCACTCTTGCCGCCAGTCTCATGCTCTGAATCTTCACCCTGCTGCTTCGTGGACTCGTCGGAGTCGCTCGAGCCATCTGCAACTTCTACTTCCTGTGCTATGCTGTTGATGTGGATGGTGCGACGTGGTGCAGAACTGCCCGAGCTCTCGCTTGTCCCCAATACGGTCGATGCGTCCGCTTTGCATGGGTCCTCACTAAGAAATTCGTGCACATCTGCGAACAGCGCGAAGTACGTTTGCTGCTGTTCGCCGGATTCCATGCGCTTGCGGATCATGTGGTACTTCTGCCGAATTTTCGACCATTCATCCCTGACCCGCTCCGCGGACCAGACGCCAATAGCCTCTGCAATCTCTTCGCGGGCCTGCATCATCGCCGCCCTGGGCCGCTTTCCAGCCCACTTTGATTGGTAGAGAATGGGCCTTTCTTTCACCATTTGCACAACCCGTCGCTGATTCTCGAGATCTCCATCGCGGCGGCTGCCCATCATGGCCGCGTGAACCAGGTTACTTGTGGATGCGGTGTGAATCAACACACTGGAATGCACAAACTGTATTATGTGACTTGATGTCCGCATCAAACGGCGGCCCTTTTGATTTCCAAGCACCGGTGATAAACTAACTGCAATCGAACGCCCACTACAATTGTACAAACAAAACAAAGAGGAGTTATCCTGGGGTTAGGTTAGTTGCCTTACTGTAAGTAAGAATTATTATTACTATAATTATTAGTTACTGTAACTTAGTGTAAGTATTTAGCTACTATTACCGGTACTACGAAATACGAGTAGGATCGAGGGGTAGATCTACATCATGTAGGACGCTGCGAAGGCAACGATTTGTTTGCAAACTGTGGCTTGGCCGGAGTTTGGCCTTGGGCGCGGCGCGGGCAGTGCAGTGGCAGTTTGTGCCAGGCTGAGTCATACTCACGGCCAGTGCATGCATATGCGCAGGATTTTGCGCTGCTCGTGGACTCATTCAGGCGGATTTCATTGAGCGGTACAGTGCTGCAGTCCTGTCCAGAGAAATCCGACCTGGCCGGGCTAGGGCTGCGCACTTGAGCGGGGTGCTACATAATGGTTACTTTATTCATGAGATCAAGAGGTTATGCACTCTTGTCTTGATGAGATTGGGTTTCTCTGGCCAGAAAAACCATGGTGTCAAGAGTGATCATGGTGATGGCCAATGCATGACCAGGGAGTCATAAAAGACGGGATTTCAGGACTTCCTGATTATGATCATCACGCTATCATTAATTTTCATGACTGAAGAAAAAAATCCACACGAAGTGGCCGTCACTCGTCCAAGCCAGCATAGCAGGCTGGATTAACAGCTAGTGAATCCCATGAACGGTGAAACACCAGTACATGTGGACGACAGACCTGTCTGGCGCAATGCCATCACCAACTCGTTTTAATAGCGCTACAGACACCGTCAAGGGCCTCGTTCTCACATCACGACCAGAGCCGATAACAGCAGTAGCGTAGGATCGCGCGATACAATCATACGCAAGGAACAGCACCAATGCCCATGACAATACTGTGTCACGTGTCCAAGGGCGTAGAGGAGCAAGACTGCAGATGTGTATGGAAGAAGCCGAATAAGCCCATTGCGCAATGACGTAATTTGTACCATGAATACCCCAGACAGCCACCTGGGCATGGTCGTCTCGGGTGTTGAACAGTGCATTCCTGATCCCAGTGTACTCACATGCATTACTCATACCTTCCATATTTGGCAATGCGCAATGGGCTTATTGGAGAATAGGTTAGGCAAAATATTTATAAAACGTGGGAACAAATGAGAAACAGAAACATCAGAAACATCAGCTATAATAT